CTCTTCTTGGGACGTTGATTCCCCCACTTACACTTGGGATCAACAGGTACGACACGTTGTTTTGAAGAGAAAAAAATCAAATTTTATAATCTTGTTTTGGTTTAGGATTATGTCGATGATTCTCATGGTATGCAACATTTGTCTGTTCCCTTAACTTCATCGTTCCATGAAGAATATGAACATAACATTAACATTTCCGGATGACGTTGTTGGAACGAAAATACGTAGACGTGTACATAGCCATTGATCTTGTTTCCATCAAGAGAGTTGTTTAATAAGGTTGTTTTGAACAAGTTATAAGTATAATTCGAATCTAAATCAAAATAGATTTGAATATAGTCCAAACTTTAAAATCGTTGATTATTGCAGCAGCAACGTTCAGTTAAGCGTCGGGGGAGTGATTCCGAAATGAGCACAATGATCTTCGAGCAAGGACGGGAAGGAGCAATTCAGGGGAAACATCTTAGGCCAACAATTCCCATTGATTGTGGTAAAGGCATTGCAACAATCAGGGCCAATGCTATCAAATTGTGCACTAAATACCACTATAAATTTTTTACATGCATCCTCGTACGTCGAATACAGCCGACCGACATTGCTGTAAGTCCGGCGAACTAACTGGTCGTGCAGGTGAGCTTCGGCTAGCCTTGGCCAGAAGAGAACTGCGATGCATGTGGCCAGAAGAGAACTATTGTGAATACTTATCAATAGTTAACTCGAAAGTTTAAAGTCGTGATAGATCAATATAATAACTAAATAAATATTGTTTAAATTTTAGAAAGAAAACATCAAATTGATACTAAAGAAAAATAATAATGTACTTTCAAAATAAATAAAATCATTCACTATTTTGATAGAAATTAAAATACTAATTAAAAAAATCTCAAATTATAAAATAAGGAAAGAGAAAAAAAACCAACAGGGAGATTCAAGTTTTTATACGGTATTCGTTGCATGTAATGAAGTCGCCACTTGTCCAAGTACTTTATTAAGTCGGACCCACAACTTCAGCTTGCCTTGTCGTATAAACAAATTTAAAAGTTCATATATTTGTATAGCTTTTTAATCTAAAAGTTTTAGATGAATTTATATTTTCTCTTCCTACATATTAAAGACTATTTTTTTAGTATTTTGGAAGAGTGATCCAAAGTTCCAACAGATTTATCAGTCAAATTGATCTTATCAATGGCGATTCTACCAGAGAGTATAGTGGAAGTAGTTGAAGACGTGAGCCATGTTTCTCCTCCACCAGGCTCGGTTCCCACAACTTCTCTCCCAGTCACCTTCTTTGATATACTTTACCTTGTTACTATACCAGTCGATTGCAACTGGATGCAACGCCTGTTTTTCTATGAATCCAAACACCCCGCCTCCGATTTCATCCGAAACATTCTTCCCGGTCTCAAACATCTCTGTCGCTCACTCTGCAAGGTTTCTTTCCTTTCCCCGGCAATGTCGTGTTCCCTGCACCTCCTCGGATGCCTGATATTGTATACACGGAGGGTGACTCCGTTTTGTTCGTCGTAAAGGAATCCACGGCGGATTTTGACCATCTAGTAGGTGATCATGCGCGGGACCATGGTGGGTTTCATGCTCTTGTACTCCAAAAGCCACCTGCAATTGACACCGAATCACCGATTGTTGCAAGCGAGAGCCTGCCATGGCCGTTCAAGTCACCGTGTTTCCCAATGCAGGGTTTTCCATAGGTGTCGGCTTCTCCCATAATGTAGCCGACGGGAAGACGTTTGCTCACTTTATGAAATCTTGGGCTTCCCCATTCATAAACCACAAGAGGATTCGGCTTGTCTCGACGATCATTTACCCAGTTTCGACAGGGATTTGATCAACGATCCTCTCGGACCAGCATCCCTTTTGATGAAGAACATCGGGATGACATTCCAAGTTACAATTTCATCCACCATTTTCTTCAATAATCTTTATCGACACCGTTTGGCTCGGACGGGAAAAAACTTAATATGACTTAAGGTTTTCTTTGAAAATATTTTAAAAATGTGAAAAGTCACCATCAACGTTTTAAGTTAGTTAAATCAAATACTTAAAAAATTTATTTTAAAAGAGTTTTAAAAAAAACATCATTTTAAAAAATAAATTAGTGTATATATAATGTAACTAGAGATTTGTTCTTTTTTTGTAATAAAAAAGGGTTCAAAAATCAATACATATAGAGAAAGATATACACCCCACAACGTCCAAAATTAATATCTCACCGATTCTAAATTATTTCTAATAATAAACATCTAAAAATTCAAATACAAATTTAAATTACAATCTCTTTATTCCAATTTCTACCATTCAATTTTAATGAACGAAAAAATTTTAAGAATAAATAAAAAATAATCTAATATTTTCAAAATATTCTAATATTTTCAATTAAAGAGAAAATAATCCTTAAAATAATTTAAGTCAAATATTTCTTTTTTCAAATGAAATAAAAAGATTATAATAATTTATTCAAATAATTCAAAATTATAATATTTTTTTCGACCAAAGAAAGAAATTAAACCAATTTATCCAATTTATATACAATTAAAAAAGATAAGAGAAGTTCAATTATTTAAAAATACAAAAATTTAATTCCTAAAAAAAATTAGACGAATTATCTCGACAAATTTAAATAAAAAAAAATTCCTTTTCCTTTTATTCTTGACTTAATTTATGCATCATCAATTTTTTTATTCTAATAGAGTATTTATTTATTATATAATTTTAAAATAAGACATAATTACAGACAGTCTTTTCTTAATATTTTAAAATAAATAAATATTATCTTTAATCCAGTTATTAAATCAATCTAGTTATGCTTATGAGGATTTCAGGCAAAATAAAATATCATGATTAAATACAAATGCATAAATATAATTAAATTAAAATGGTAAATTGAAGCATTTATAAATCTATAAATATATTTTCTAAATATAATATTTAATATAAAACATAATATCTATTATAAAAATATAATAAGATGTAAAATATAATATTTATAAACAATGCAATACATGTAGTATTATATAAATATATAATAAAGTAATATATGACAATGTAAGAGAAATAAATATATAATACTTAAAACATACTTAATGATACAATATAACAATATATGTGGATTCATCCATAACACAGTGACAAAAATAAATGTATAGTAAAATTGAGATCCTAAATATAAACAAAACAAACTTCAAGGCATGAAACAGGAAAATCAGATAATATGAGTCCCAAAATCGTAATAAAAGTTAAATATACAGGACTAAAATGAAAGGGCATAAAAACAGTAGACAAATTTAATGAAATAACAAAGTAAATAATGACTAAACTATAATGAAAATGAACCATAATGTCAAATTCAGGAAAAAAAATCAAAATGAGGTACTGTGTGACCAAAACGTTAAACCAAGTGAAAGAAACAGGGAGGTAAAGGTGATTTACTCACTAACATTCGACCCAAAAGCTACAACTGCTAAAGAAAAGGACCCAAGAATGAATTTTCCCGTAAACAGTAACCAAAATATCATGGGATTCTTAAGGTTAGAGGACTTATGCGTGATTATACCACGATTGAGTGACCTAAATGCAAAACATGCTAAAGGTCCGAGGACCCTAGCATGATTTGTCCAAAAATAAAATATATCTTCCCTTTTCAAAATCAATTCTGCCCGATGGAACCCCTAACACTCGTCTCGTCTACTCTTCCCCTCTTCCCTCACGCGATGGCCATGGCAGCCTACCTCTGACAAGCCGGCGTCAGCGACGCCTCGGCCACCCTATGTGGGTGGCCATTCCTACTCCGGCCGGGACCTACACAGCATAAGAAGCACCAAAGAACCTATACACCACTACCCACGATACTTTCCTCCTCATGCGAAAACCAGACACCGGACCACCATATGCTGTTGTCCTTCAACCTCAACGAGACCCCAAAAATCTACCCTCTCCCCGATGAGCACTCCGGCAGAAAGGTTTTTCTAACCCCTATCTCTATTTTTTTTTAAAGCTTCGAACTAGTATCAACAAAAAACGAAATCAAAAAGCTCTAATCTTTAGTTACATTCTAAGGATTAAACAAATAAACTTAGAATGGAAAAAGTTGGAATACCTCTGAGAATTTCAGTTCTGTTTTTCTATTTTTTTTATAGCCGTAAAAAAAATCTGTATTTTTATTGCCCCGTAAATGTCCATTACATTGCTTGTTTCTTTGGGTTTTATACCCTTGCAAGGATTATAAAACAGAGAAAAAAATAGGCTGATATCCTCTTTGACACGTTCGGTAGTGTTATCATTTGGAGGAGAGGGCCACCATGCTTTCTGGCGTGGAGGCATGGGCTTGCTGCAACAGCAGGGTATGGCGTTGGCAGCTTCACGTGGGCATGGCAGGCAACTGGTGGCAGAGAGAAGGGTGTGGCAGCAGTATGGTGTTCGCAGTGGGCCGGTTCGGGTCGGATCCGGATATTAGGCTTGAACCGGGTCGGATTGGATTTTAGGATAAAATTGGTGATTACAATCTCGGGTTCACATACAAAATCAAACATTCTGAGGTCGAGTTATTGAAAAATGAGGTGAAAACACAGTGCAATGAAGTGATGGGATCAAAGCCGATAAGGACGTCGACGTTTGTAGTAACATGTGCTTACACCTGGGTTTGCTTGATCAAACTGCACCATTCATTAACGAAATCCAACGAGCTTTCTTATTTCCATTTCCCAGCATATTGCAGAGCCTACCTAAAACTACCCCAAACATACTTCGAGAACCGTCTTACATAACGCTAAACATCGGCAAAGAAATTATTTATTTCTTAAGCAAAGATAATTTATTGAGAATTGTTGAGAATAAATGATAATTGTAATATCATCGTAAGAGAATAAATGTAGAAATATGTATAAGATCGAATCTAACTCTCTATATTCAAATAGAAATTATTTATTTCTTAAGCAAAGATAATTTATTATTAAGCCAACAGGAAGAGATTGTAAATGAAGAACCATTTAGGATAGCTTTAACAAGCCTCGGTGGAAAATGGTGTTGAAGCTATCTGATTCATGTGGAGGAAGTGCGATGCCAAATTCAACTCCGCCTTCCTCTTCACTGTTCTCTGAAATTGAGAAAGAAGAAACAGACCCAAACGATGCAATGTTACCGAACTCGATCTTTTTCGGTCTTCCCCACCCAAAATCCGACGTATACACTCCAAATTTCGGCGATGAGGTAACAAAGATGCTATCTTTGATCATTTTGATTATCTCAACTACTTTTGCCCAAGACGTTTCTGCATCCTTGAATGGCTGTTCCTGGAACTCCATGATTTCTCTTCCGATTACGGTTGCAGCCACCAGAATCCCATTTTCTCCTAACAACTCACTCTTCTTCGCCGCCGTCATGCGTAGTAAAACGCAGTTGCCGAAGTATGTTTCGGGTAATTTCAGGTGGCCTCTGCAATCCACCGGGAAGTGGAAATAAGAAACCGCGTCGAAATCATCTGGTGACGGGTTCTGATGAGTTCCAATTTGTTGTAGTTTGGTCAAACAAACCCATGTGTAAGCACATGTTACCACGAATGTCGACATCCTTATCGGCTCCGATCCGTACACTTCCATGCACGTTTTCTTCACCCAAGATTTCAGTAATTCAACCTGGGATCGTTTGATTTTACAAGTGACTCGGACGTTGTTGAAGAAGACGCTGGAGGTTGAAGATGAGCCCTGGAATACTCTTTCGTTCTTCATGAAAAGCCCGGACGCTCGCCCTGAAGGATCGTTAACCAAATCCCTGTCGAAAGTAGGAAAACAATTTGTAAAACAAGTTAAATCCCCTTGAGACTTGTGAATGGCTGCCCATGATTTCATGAAATGAGCATCTGTTCTTCCATCACCAAGAACATGGGAGAAACCAACACCTATGGAAATGCCTACGTCGGGAAATACAGCGACTTGAATAGCCATGTTGGGCTTCTGCGTGCAGCCACTCGACTTACTTTCAACCTCAGGCGGCGATTTGGGGAAGAGAGGTTGAAAATCCTGAGCGTGTCGTGCATGATCGCCGATAAAATGATTAAAATCTTCCGACGATTCATAGACTATAAACGAAACGGAGTCGCCTTCGGTATAGAGAATATACGGCATTTGAGGAAGCGGAGGGAACACAAGGTTGCCGGCGAAAGGGAAGAAATGTTGGAGAGTGAGGGAGAGAGATGCTTTGAGTTTGGGGAGGGTGGTTTCCATGAAATGCGAAGTGGGGTATTGGAAATAGTAGAAAAATAGGTATTGCATCCAACTTCCCGGAAAACCAAGGAATATTCTATCGGAGAAGGTGAGAGGAAGGGTGGTTGTGGGGACGGAAGACGGTGGAGGAGATACATGGCTTGCATCTTCAAGCAGTTTCATGCTACTCTCCGGTGAGATTGCCATTAATTTTGTGGAAGTATTTATGAAGTTGAGCTAGTCGCACTGATTATGTTAATGTAGACTTGTAATGTGTTAAAGTTCATGATTTTATAGAGATCCTGTTCCCAATAACACATACATTCAACTTGTCCAATTATTAACTCAGATCTGCAACTTCACTAATTTATAGTCACTCTTGTTTAAACAAATTATTATTTTGATTATTTTACCCTTAATTCATTAATAATATCCGACATATCACATTAAAAGAAATTAAAAAATCAACATATGTGGCTTTTACTCCCAACATCATCATTTTTACCGTAATTAAACGAATTAAAAGATTAATGATTGTAATATTAATTTAGAATATTATAACGTATCACATCAATTTTTATTAATAATATCCAAGGAAATTAATCGTGATAAAAAGATTAATGATGGTAATATTATTTTTAAAATTTTTGATCAAAATAAAAATATAGGTAAAGTATATAAAGAGTCCCTGAACTTTTAGGGTGCTTATATTTTTAGTCACCCAACTTTTGAAACTTGCAATACAGTCATTAAACTTATAATTCATTTTCAAAATAGTCCCTGCCATTACCTTCGTCAGTTTTTGCTGGCACGTTAACTCCATTAAAACAACACCCCCAGGTCTTCTTCTTCCTTCTTTCTTTCTTCTTCCTTCTTCTTCTTCTTCTTCTTCTTCTTTGAGACAAAAGAACAAATTGCTATGTTTACAAGTCCTACCTTCTGCTTCTCTGCTTCTTTCAAAGTTCCGGGCATAGTTACATCAAGCATATTGATATCTACTTGTGCAGTTTGTAAAACTTGCCCTATTTCACCATCTTCAGGTACAGATTCCTCTTTGACCAACTCTCCTTCAAAAGGTTTGGTCTCTGCTGACAAATCTTTGAGCGAATCTTGTCCGGACTGCTGGTGGATGCTAGCAGATGTACCACCATCTTCTAACATGTCTCTTGTAGGACAAACGGAATAGCCACTTACAGAATTTGATCTAGAAAGATCCAAAAGCTTCTTAGTGTTTCTTCCTTTACCAGTCAACCTATCTTCTGTGAGAGCTAAGCCTTTTGAAGGATTGATGGTGATGTCAACATCATTTAGAAGATGATGACGGCCCCTTAGGAGTCCAAGCTCCACCGCAGTAAGCCACTATATAAACCAAATGATACTGATGAGGGTGAATTCGAAGTCGCGAAATTCGATGGCCAGGGTAACTTCGGATTATGGCAAACGAGGGTGAAGGATCTATTGGCGCAGCAAGGGATCTTGAAGGCTTTGCGACCTACAAAGCCGGCGTCGATGGATGAGGAAGATTGGGAAGAATTGCAGCAGCGAGCGGCAGGAACCATACGATTATGCTTGGCGGACGAGGTCATGTATCACGTCATGCATCTATCGTCTCCAGACGAAATTTGGAGGAAGTTGGAAAGTCAGTTTATGTCCAAATCCTTAACGACAAAACTGTATCTGAAGCAGCGGCTGTATGGGCTGAAGATGCAGGACGATCACGATTTGGCGCAACACGTGAATGTCTTCAATCAAATCGTTTCTGATCTGGCTCGGCTTGATGTGAAATGAGGATGAAGACAGAGCGATGATTCTGTTGTGTTCGTTGCCTTCCTCTTACGAACACATGGTGACTACTCTTACATATGGGAAAGAGACTATCAACGTTGAGGAGATTACTGCAGCCTTGTTGGCTCACAACCAGCGGAAGCAGAATGCAGGGGAAAGCTCTCAAGCCGATAGCTTATATGTCAAGGGTAATCGAGATCGTGGACGGAAGCCAGAGAAGGCAGGGTCCGGGAAGCGGAATTCCAGATCCAAATCCAGGGATAAGAAGACGATTCACTGTTACAAGTGCAAGGAGGCGGGACATATGAAGCGAGACTGTCCGAAGTTGAAAAAGCAGACTGATGAGAAGCGTGATGGCTCATCCAAGTCTGTGAACGTGGTCGAGGATGATACTTCTGATTGCAGTGAGGGTGATATGCTTTCTATTTCAACGACACAATTGACGGATGCTTGGATTCTTGATTCTGGATGTTCTTATCACATCACGCCAAATAGGGAATGGTTTTCGACATACAGGCCGGTTAATTCTGGTTCGGTTTATTTGGGTGATGATCGATGTTGCAATATTGTTGGTATTGGTGATGTCAGAATTAAGATGCACGATGGCTCCGTTCGGACGTTGAGTGGTGTTCGACATATCCCAGACTTGAAGAAGAATTTGATTTCCTTGGGCACTTTGCACAAGAATGGTTTTATCCCTAAGGCTGACGAGGATAGGGAAACCATTCGGATTGTTAAAGGAGCATTGACTGTGATGAAAGGCAAGATGACTGCAGGGAATATCTACAGATTGTTAGGGAGTACCGTTGCAGGTGGAGTTCACTCTGTTGAGTCCTGATGATACGACAAACTTGTGGCATATGCGCCTTGCTCATCTTAGTGAACGTGGTATGGCAGAATTACATAAGAGAAACTTGTTGCATGGTGTCAAAAGCTGTAAGCTCGATTTTTGCAAGTATTGTGTTCTTGGTAAACAGACTAAAGTCCGTTTCAAGACTGCGAAGCACACAACTCAAGGGATTCTTGATTATGTGCATTCTGATGTATGGGGGCCTTCCACGACATCGTCTTTGGGTGGATCTAGGTACTATGTTACTTTTATTGATGATTTTTCACGGAAAGTTTGGGTGTATTTTTTGAAACAGAAATCTGAAGTTTTTGAGAAGTTCAAGCTGTGGAAAGCTGAGGTAGAAAACCAAACAGGACGAAAAATCAAGTGTTTGCGGTCTGACAATGGTACGGAGTACACAGATTCACAGTTCCTACAATTCTGTAAGGAGCATGGGATTCAGAGGCATTTTACAGTGCGCAAGACACCACAACAGAATGGTGTTGCGGAACGAATGAACAGGTCGTTGAATGAAAGAGCCAGATGTTTGCGGTTGAATGCGGGGCTCCCAAACACTTCTGGGCTGAGGCTGTTAACATGGCGTGTTACCTTATCAACAGATCGCCAAGGGCATCGCTGGCTGGGAAAGTTGCAGAAGAGGTATGGACTGGTCATGATGTTAGTTTTGATAACTTACGGATTTTTGGTTGTCCTGCTTATGTGCATGTACCTGCTGATGAGAGATCCAAACTTGATGCAAAATCGAAGGAGTGCATTTTCTGGGTTACAAGAAAGGTGTCAAATGATTCAAGTTCTGGGATCCAGTTGCGAAGAAAGTTGTGATTAGTAGAGATGTCGTTTTTGATGAACAGTCTATGTTGCAGCAGAAGCAAGACACGACAGTGGTAGATTTCGAGCAGTTTCCAGTTGAGAAACCAGAAACTTCTCAACCGACTTCTGGTGGTTCCACTACGGATGATTTGCAGGATTATAGTCTCGCCAGAGACAGGGTGAGACGGACGAATATAAAGCCTCCGAACAGATTGGGTTTTGAAGACTTGGTATCTTTTGCACTTACTGTTAGCAGTGATGATCCAGTTACTTTTCATGATGCCGTTACTAGTCAGGAAAACGACAAGTGGATGGCAGCCATGGTTGAGGAGATGGAGTCTTTGAATCACAATCGCACATGGGAGCTAGTTCCCCTTCCTGAGGGTAAGAAGCCGATTGGTTGCAAATGGGTGTATAAGAAGAAACCAGCAGTAACAGAAAAAGAGGGGGAGAAGTTCAAGGCTCGTTTGGTAGCGAAGGGTTTTTCACATCAGAAAGGAGTTGATTATGATGAATCTTTTCTCCTGTGGTCAGGCACACTTCAATCCGAGCAGTACTTGCATTGGTGGCTAGTTGGGATTTGCATTTAGAGCAGATGGATGTTAAAACTGCTTTTTTGCATGGTGATTTAGAGGAGCAGATCTACATGCGGCAACCTGAAGGTTTCACTCAACCTGGAACGAGCATTTAGTTTGCAGATTGAAGAATCTTTGTACGGGTTAAAACAGTCTCCGAGACAGTGGTATAAACGGTTTGACTCCTATATGATCAAGATTGGCTACAACCGATGTGAGTATGATTGTTGTGTCTATGTTAAGAGCCTTGATGATGGTTCTTTTATTTTCTATTACTGTATGTTGATGATATTGATTGCTGCGAAGAACATGGATGATGTTATCGGTTTGAAAACTTTATTGAGTCAGGAATTTGATATGAAAGATTTAGGTGCTGCAAAGAAAATTCTTGGAATGGAAATTTGCAGGGACAGAGACTCAAGGAAACTGCGGCTATCTCAACGGGGTTATGTTGAGAAAATGCTAGAAAGGTTTGCGATGAGCAGCGCGAAACCAGTTAGCACTCCATTGGCGAATCACTTTAAGCTCTCATCAGAACAGTGCCCTAAGACAGATAAGGAAGCTGAAAATATGGCAAAGGTTCCGTATTCTAATGTTGTTGGCTGCTTGATGTATGCGATGGTATGTACTCGTCCTGATTTAGCTCATGCTGTTAGTCAAGTTTGTAAGTACATGTCTAAACCTGGTAAGCAACATTGGGATGCAGTCAAGTGGATCTTTCGGTACTTAAAGGGTACTGTGGGACATGAAATTGTTTTTGGGAGTCAGCGGGATAATCCTTTGGTTGTAGGATATGTGGATTCAGATTATGCAGGTGACTTGGATAATAGAAGATCTACGACAGGGTATGTGTTTACTCTTGGTGGAGGGCCTATTTGCTGGAAGTATACTGTTCAATCTGTCGTGGCACTATCTACAACTGAAGCTGAATACATGGCAGCGGTTGAAGCTGCAAAAGAAGCTTTATGGCTTACTGGTTTAGTGAAGGAGTTGGGTGTTCAACAAGGTGGAGTTTAGTTGCTTTGTGATAATCAAAGTGCTATTCACTTGGCTAAGAATCAGGTGTATCGTGCTAGAACTAAACATATTGTAAGGTTCCACAAGATCAGAGAGTTGGTTGCATCTGGAGAGGTTTTGTTTCAGAAGGTACATACTGATGAGAATGCCGCTGATATGTTCACCAAGCCAGTTACGACAGACAAGTTCAAGCATTGCTGGACTTGTTGAATGTTTCGAGTTGTTAAAGAAGCAAGGTAACCCAACCCACATTGAAGTTTCCAAGGGGCAGGATATTCGCCAAGGTGGAGATTTGTTATGTATGGCTCATAAAAAGTCTCGTTGTGGGGTTACGAATTATGTGGGTTGGGGTGCGGGGGCGTAGCCCCCGCGGTACGGTACAGGGTTGATTTTGTAATTATGTACCAGGGTTTTCTATTATAAATAGAGATGTAACCTAGACCTAAAATATCATTGAATAAAATTCTAGCGCCGCCTAGGCACCGAGGACGTAAGCACATTGCCGAACCTCGTAAAATTCTCGTGTTCTTTCGTTTTCTTTACCCGTTTTCGTCAACAAATATCAATTGCAATATACAAGGAAAAACTTTATCAAGTTCGATAACATAAGCTACAGAACATGTCACTCCAGCCCGGTTAGCATAACTTGCAATAACCAGGATATAATTAGCAATGGAAACATCTTATCATGAAATAGGAAGTAAATTCTGTAGGACTTAAATCCAAATAAGTGAAGGAACACAAATGAGAAAAGAGAAGATGGAGACATTACCTCAATAGTAAGATGATGGAACCAAGACACTGTAGCTCTATATGAAGAACACGAACAGAGTAGTAGGCTGGTAAAAGGAAGAAGAAGAAGAAGACGACGACCTGGGGGTGATGTTTTAACGGAGTTAACGTGTCACGTCAGTCAAAACTGACCGGAGGTAAAGACAGATACCATTTTAAAAACGAATTAAAAGTTCAATTATTATATTATAAATTTTAAAATTTAAATGATCAAAATGCAAGTACCTTAAAATTTTAGGAACTATTTATATTTTACACTAAAAATATTTAAAACTTTTAGATAGCATTAATATAGTTTACCATATTGTTTTTATTTTAAACATTAAACTATTTATAATAAAAAGAAATAGTACCTAATAATGGTGATTTCCCGATATATCACCGGTGAACAGTATAATTCTCGATCTATCACTGGTCATATTATATTTCCAGATCTAACACCCTTAGCAATAAAGCGCGCCCCTTGTACCACGCTATACGCTGATTTGGCGCCACGTGTGTATAGCGCGCGCCCTGTCCCGCACTATACGGTGATCTGGCATACATGTGGGTATAGCGCGGCCCCTGCATCGCTATACCTGGATATCTGACACGTGGGGTATAGCGCGGTGCAGGGGGCGCGCTATACCCCTAATTACCGATCCCATATGACAAGTCTTCTGACGCTACAGTAACCAGCACTTGCCCAGTGGCCCCATTAAGCATCCGCTTATACAATAATAAAAAACTATTCTTAATATAGTTTTTGTTTTTAATTGAAATGTGATCATCATATTTTGTAACATTTTGTTTTATTAATTTTGAAGTATGTATTTTTAATTATTAAAAATAAAAATTTTTAATTGTAGGAATGTTAGTTTTTTCGAGTATAAATAAATAATTCATAAGATAAAAGTGAAAAAAATGAAAATAAATACCTCTAATAAAGATGATCAAAATACTCGAATCTAAAGAATCTCGACCCGACCTTACAAAAGCAGTTTTTTTAAAATTTTAAAAAATCAATCCGACCCAACCTGGTATAAATTATTCTATCTATATATATACACGTATACCCGGCTCCGTCCCACCCTGATCCCTAAAATTTTAAATACTTGAATCTAACAAATCTTGACCCGACCTTACAAAAGTAGTTTTTTTAAAATTTTAAAAAATCAATCCGACCCAACCTGGTATAAATTATTATTCTATCTATATATATATACACGTATATACCCGTTCCGTCCCACCCTGATCCCTAAAATTTTAAAATACTCGAATCTTACGAATCTCGACCCGACCTTACAAAAGCAGTTTTTTTAAATTTTAAAAAATCAATCCGACCCAACCTGGTATAAATTATTATTCTATATATATATACACGTATATACCCGGCTACGTCCCACCCTGAACCCTAAAATTTTAAAAAAATTACTTTTGTAAGGTCGGGTCGAGATTCGTTAGATTCCAGTATTTTGATCATCCTTATTAGAGGTATTTATTTTCATTTTTTTCACTTTTATCTTATGAATTATTTATTTATACTAGAAAAAACTAGCATTCCTACAATTAAATTTTTTATTTTTAATAATTAAAAATACATACTTTAAAATTAATAAAACAAATGTTACAAAATATGTATGATCACATTTCAATTAAAAACAAAAACTATATTAAGAATACTATTTTTTATTATTTGTATAAGCGGATGGTTAATGGGGGCCACTGGCAAGTGTTGGTTACTGTAGCGTCAGAAGACTTGTCATATGGGACCGGTAATTAGGGGTATAGCGCGCCCCTGCACCGCGCTATACCCCACGTGTCAGATATCCAGGTATAGCGCGTTGCAGGGGTCGCGCTATACCACGTGTATGCCAGATCACCGTATAGCGCGGGGCAGGGGGCGCGCTATACCCACGTGGCGCCAAATCAACGTATAGCGCGGTGCATGGGCGCGCTTTGCTAAGGGTGTTAGATCTGGAAATATAATCGACTAGTGTTAGATCGGGAATTATACTGTTCACCGGTGATATATCGGGAAAATCGCCCTAAATAATACTGTATTATCGGCAAAAGTGGTTGAATAATGTAATGGGGGAAAAAAAAGTCTTCGCATAATGCAATCGAACAAATATTTACTTAAGTAGGGTGATTGTTACAGTGACCACTATAGGTCTCCAGAAGTACACGACGACCTCTATAGGTCTCTAGGAGCACTTTGCGACCTATGAAGCTGCAACAGAAGAGAAAAGAGTTATTGTAACAGAAGAGGCTTTATCACAAGGAAGACTTATCGACCTATGGAGTATTTGATAATCAATGAAGTCACTGTAACAAACATCACGTTCTGAAATTTTTTTTTCAACGTCCTATATCGATGAAGCCCTGTATTACTAGTCCCAGATAATGTTCAGTGTTTGAAATGTGAGCCCTCGTCTACTCCATTATAGTCGAATATTATATAAATATAATCCACAAGATCTTTGGGTAGTTGTTGAATAAATATATACAACTTGTCCAATTTTGACAGAGAAGTTAGATCTAGAAATTGGAGAAATTGTAATCAGATCTAGAAATATTAATTCAGATTTGCAACTTCATATCTTATATATATGTAAATTTTTTTGTAGGCTTATATAACAGTTAAGTATACGGATTCGTCAAGCGGTGTCAGTAGTTAAGGCCTCCTGGAACACCGCGTCGTCATCGTGGAAAGACAATCGCAGACCCTAAAGGATCGTTGATCGGAATATAATTGTCCTACGAAGATATGCCCATGATTTCATAAAACTAGCAACCGTCCTTCCGTCGACTGCAACATGTGAGAAGCCGACACAGATGGAAATGCCTACATTGGGGAAAATAGTGACTTGAACGGCCTTTGCATGCAATCATCCCACCTGCTTCAAATTGCAGGTGGCGACTTCAGCTTTAAATTATTGACAGTGTCGTGCATGATCGCCTACTAGGTTATTTAAATCTGCTGTAGATAGTTTAGCATTTGATAGGATCAATTTTAAAAATTAGTGAAGTTGACAAATTTAATTTATAATTTAAATTAATTTAAAAAATTATCAAATTAATCAAATTTATAAAATTCAAATACAATGAATTGTTCAATATTCTATTTAATTTTAATTATAAATATTTATAATATTATGATACTCTAGCTTAAACGACTTTTTATAATTATATATAATCTTTTGGGTAGTTGTTGAATAAATATATTACAACTTGTCCAATTTTTGACAGAGAAGCCAGATCTAGAAATTGGAGAAATTGTAATCAGATCTAGAAATTATTAATTCAGATTTGCTACTTCATATCTCATATATATGTAAATTTTTTGTAGGCTTATATAACAGTTAAGTATACGGATTCGTCAAGGGTGTCAGTAGTTAAGGCCTCCTCGAATACCGTGTCGTTCATCGTGAAAAGGCCAGTCGCAGACTTGAATGTACATTTGATTTACAGAACGTAAGATTTTCGGTGGAAATAAAATATTATCAGTTAATAGAATTACTGGAAATGTTATATTTTGTGTTTGGTTAGTTTAGCAGGAATGTAAGATTATCGTGTTTGATTAAAGGAATGAAAGATTATTGGAATGTATATTTGATAAAATTGTCTTTGTTATATATTTATTTTTTTAACCAATTAAAAAATATTTATATATTTTCTTTAAAAAATTTAAATTCATAAAATTTATAAATTTTTTTTACAAAATTGAAAATATAAAAAGGTTTAATGAAATGATAAAATTTTATTTTAACCCCTAAACTTCATATAAAATTTAATTATAGACTTTTTTTGTAAATCTAAAATAGTTTAAGGATAAATTATAATTTAACCTTCGTATAATTTTATTATTTAATGATAAAATAGGATATTTTTAAAGAAAAAATTTCAAGGCATTTTAGTCTAAAACGTCGGTAATCCAACAATACATAAGGAAAGGGAGATAATGATATTCCCGGTAATATACCCCAAAAAATCCACTATTGGTAATGTAAGATTACCGGGAATGACATTCCCGGCCCAGTAATTTACATTACCAATAGTGGATTTTTAGGGGTATATTATCGGGAATGTTATTATCTCTCTTTCCTTAGGTATTGTTGGATTACCAGTGTTTTGGACTAAAATACCATTAAAAAAATTTCTTTCAAAAATATTTTTATTATGTCATTGAATAATAAAAATTCTACGAAGGTTAAATTACAAATTTATCCTTAAACTATTTTAGATTTACAAAAAAAATCTATAATTAAAATTTTATATGAAGTTCAGGGGTTAAAATAAAATTTTATCATTTCATTAAACCTTTTTATATTTTCAATTTTGTAAAAAAAAAAATTATAAATTTTATGAATTTAAATTTTTTAAAGAAAATATATAAATATTTTTTAATTGGTTAAAAAAACAAATATATAACAAAGACAATTTTGTCAAATATACATTCCAATAATCTTTTATTCATTTAATCAAACACGATAATTTTACATTCCTGCTAAACTAACCAAACACAAAATACAACATTCCCAGTAATCCTATTATCTGGTAATCTTTTATTCATACTAATAATCTTACATTCCGCGAACCAAAAGCACCCTAAAGGATCGTTGATCGGAAAATAATTGTCCTACGAAGATATGCCCATGATTTCATAAAACTAGCAACCGTCCTTCCGTCGACTGCAACATGTGAGAAGCCGACACAGATGAAAATGCCTACATTAGGGGAAAATAGTGACTAGAACGGCCTTTGCATGCAATCATCCCACCTGCTTCAAATTGCAGGTGGCGACTTTAGCTTCAAATTTTTGACAATGAAAAAAAAACAATTCAGAATGAAAAACTAAAAAAACAGTTCAAAAACTACACAATGAAAAAAAAACAATTCAGAATGCCACCGACTTTGAGAGCGTTAACGAGACCAGCTCGAGCTTCCTCGTTAAGAGCTGCAACCAAAATTAGAAGGAAAAAAACAGTGAGGGAAGTGATAACAGTGAAGCAGTGAAAGTAGAAGACTGAGAACAGAAAGTGATTACCACCATCACCGAGGCCGGACATGTTGAAGTTAATTCCTTCGTTGTTTGTCATTGTGAATAAAGAATTTCAAGGAGAAAGAAAAAAGAGAAAAGGTTGATTTTAGAAAGAATATGAGAATCTAAAACCCTAGATACGAGAAAGGGCAGAAAAGATGGGAATTTAAATGGGGGTTTGGTTGAGTGGGAGAGGCGTGTCGTTACCAATTCCTTTCTCCCTTACCATATCCAGACCTAAATATATCCTATTATCAAAATTTTTAAAAAAAATAAAAAATAAATATTCATAATTTGATAATTAAATATTATTTTTAAATACATTTATATTTAAATATATTAAAATTCTTTTTATATTTAATATTCATAATATTATAATAATTTTAAAACTGATCAATAATTTATTGAATTCAATTATGTCAGAATGACGTTAACTAAGGATTTTAACGTTTAATAACTTATGTTTGTTATATATTTTTAAAATTTATTTATAGTAATTTCTTAATTTAATTGACGTTACTCATACATAAACTCATACGTCAATGTTCTTTAACTTATAATCATTACATAGCACTAATTTTATTTTAATATTTATGTACCGAATTAAAGTAAGAAGTAACGTAAACACGGTAGAGATTTTATTATTATGATCAAACGTATCTAAAATTGATGCTTAAATTTA